ATTTGATATATAATGATGTATTTTTTGACAGAATACTACAATTGTTCAATATGTTGTTCTCTGTTACTTGGTACACTCTTATAACTTACCAATTTGAATCAAGTTGTCTGCTCTTTCATTTAACCTCATCTCTATATATGAGTTTAATTATTAATCTGAATTTATGTGAAAAAAATAGTCTCATAATAATTAAGGTTTTTTTTATTTTTCTCATCAGTCCAAGTATGGTTGTACTTCCAATTCTTAAATTTCTCTTTTCTTTTAGCCTGCTTTCTGTTGTTCTCAGAGTTTGTGAGTAACAACCTTTATTTTAATATACTCATTTTGTTTCTCCATGTTGTAACACAAAATTAGTATTTTGAATTCATACTAGTTGTTTCCACAGAGAATCTTTCTTTCTATTTTCTTTATGAAAAGATACAAAAGTTTTATTATCTTTTCTATGACTGTCTGAAGTCTAAAAGTTCTCTGTGATTATGGCAAATTGCCACAGCCCGGTGGAGAGAGGAATAGGGACGCGACACTGCACAGAGGGTTCTGACAAGGTGGAAGGTCAGGGTGCAGTGGCCACTTTATTGAGGGGAACAAGGACTTATATAGGGTTTGGATGAGGGGAGGTCTGATAACCAGGGCGGAGCATGGGATTAATATCTCAGGGTATCACAGGGTTGGTGAGTGAAAGAAAGGTGGGAGGGACTTGGGAGGAGTTAAGCAACGGGGACCAATGGGAGCTCACTCCGCACTGCAGCACTCATCGGCCAATCAGTGTGGGATGAGCGGGAAAGCAGGGGAGAACAAGGTGGTAAATAACTTTTGGCGGGAAAACCTGAGGGCTAGTCCAGACAAGCACTAAACAATACAAACCAGGGGGATTAATAGAGATGCATATATATTAGGGCACATAAAACATGGGATGAACTGGGGAATAACACAGAAGTCCATAATTTGTTGTCTTCTCTAAGCTCCATATAAGTCTCTCCAAGCTTGGAATCATTCCCACTTGCTCTGGTGTTCCTCCACATCAAATAATATTTATCACTGGCTGATCAGTTAGGAATACAGATATTTTTACCTTAAGGACTATTTCTTCTGAAAAGGTATAGAGAAAGATGGTATTTTTTAAAAGCTCAGATTGCATATCTAGATATGCAGGAGTTGGTTTTTTTTAATTAGAGTTATTTATTTTTGAACTGTAGAAAGTGGGTCACTTCAATTTCTTGTCTATGGAGAGTCAATAATTTGGAATTTTGTAAGGGTTTTGTCAGTAGCCTTTTCAGAACCTCTCCATTTCTTTATTCAGTATTTTTCAATATTAAACTATAGTAGTTTCTCTGGGAAAAAAAAAAAAAGAGGAGAGGGAATGGGAGGGAAGGAGGCTTGTCTTAATGTTTCAGCACCCTTAATGTCAAGTCTGAACCTCACCTGAACCTTGCCTTCATCTATTCCCCTACATCCTATTACTGGAAACCAGGGAGAAGAGATCATCACCTCATCTGGACTTTCATATACATGATGATCCTCTTTTGGGGTGTTTCAGGTTTTCCAGTAGCATGCATTTAGCCATAATGAACTTCCATCATGTCATGTTTCTCATATATACGTAGGGATTTTTTGATGGGTCTTTCAGAGATGATTCAAAGGTGTAAGAAGATGAAACACGGACAAGTATTAATTTACAAAATTATTAATAAAAGTGACAAAACTGTACCAGGTAGGAAAATAGTTATTTAGATCTGTTTTGGAATTGCTGTAGTTGATTGCTCTATCAATCTCTTCCTTGTTTTTGTTACTGAATGCTTGTGGTCATTTACAAAATAATGTATCACAATGGCTGACATATTATCGATTTCCTAGAAAGGATTTGTGTATGGAATTCAGATTTTTTTCCTGGTTTCAGCAATCAAGAATAAAATGCAGTTTGGTACACAGTAACTGTTTGAAGAACCTAGACAACTATGCTGCTAAAAACAAGCACCCAGTTTTTTTATTGGAGAAGACTATATCATTTTTGCCTATATTACATATATTTACATATATATTGTAATGTATATTTGCACATATGTGCACATAATACATGTAATACAAATAACCTGATAAAATATTGACATTTTGGTTTTCTGTGAAGACAAATATCGACTGTGAAAATCTACAGGCTGTCAGTTTTTCAGATATTCTAGTAGTTGTAAAATAAAACTCCTGAACTTTCAGTGCAGAAGAGTGAAAATGGCTATTTCTGTGGGTAAAACAAAATGTTTAACTTTAGAATAAAACTGTAGTTTTTGTGTTAACTACTCTTAAGTAAAAAATTTGCATTAACATTTTGAATGCTCAGGAGTGTTTTGCTGTGTTCCTTCAGAGCTTCATTTGTCTATTCCCCAAGAAACAACAACATAAAGGTGAAAAATAATTACTATTTCTTCATGTTTGGTATTAAAAGAACACAGTATATACATAGTTTACACTGAGGTGTATAGACACTTCGAAAAGGAGAGAAAAGACAAATAATAGGTATTAAGCAAAATCACATTTCCTGTAAAAGAATGAGCAATGTAAGATACATAGGCTGAAGACTGAATAAGAAATTGTTTGGATCTTATTTAAATAACAGAATTAAAGGTTAACCACTGGCAGCAAAAAGTCTGACTGTACTGCCAAAGTGTAGAGTAAAACAATGATGTGATTGTGCACCTTTGTTGAAATTAGTCAGAAGAGCAGACATATGAAAAATAAATCGAACAAAGAACAACTCTTAAACTGGGACAAAGGAATGAGATTCAGAAACTATTTTTGAGTATAATAATGCTTAAAACAAAAAGTGTCTGTTCAGACCTAAATTGATCATGTATTTGTTTTGTCCACATTTTCCTGTTGTAATGTTCATTAAGTTGTTGTCCTTTGTATATAACTGTACACAGAATTACAAGAAGGAAAGCATCTGTCATTTCAAAACATTAAAAGGCTTTACTCCATTTGTTCAAAAACTATATGGACAAAGCCCCTAAATGATAAAGCCCCTAATGATAAGAGGTATAAGGAAATGTTATCTTCTTCAAGACAGTATACTTTCTAAGGGATTTCAAAAAGAATGCTAGTTGATTTTTTTTTAGCTGGAAGCTGAGGACAGTTGTGAAACTGAATAGATTTCAGCAAACTTCAAGTAACCCTCAAAAGTGTTTTCAGCCATGCTTTTTCATTTTGAAATCAAGTTAGAAAATTTGACTTATGTTTAATATAATTCCATATTTCTTGCATTGTATGATTTTATGTTTTTCCTACTGACTCAGAATAGTGATTTAAAGATAATCCAGACTTGTGATGGAGGTTAATTTGTGGTTTTAATGCTGAGCAGTTCTTCAGCCATGAAGTAGAATGAAACAATCTTAAGAAAAGGAATAATTTATGCCCTATATCAGTAGCAAATCGTAAGATATAATTTTCCTAATCATTAAACGCAGGGTTGAAGTGAAGAAACTTTATCTCTTTGCAGAATATAAAGTTAGGTGTAGCAGAAGTTAAAATCATACTTAGAAAAATATCTTCCCTGTAACACACTTGGGATAAAATACATTACTCATATCTGTGAGGTGGAGAGAAAAAAAAAGAAGCTGTTTTTAATCAGTTTATTATTATACAAACTAATATGTTTAAATCAACACAGCACAGGGATGGTCTCCAGAAATTGCCTGTTCATTTAAGCTATAGTGATAGTTGTGATTCGCATAAGAAAGGTCACTTTCTCCTCCTCTTGTGAGCACCAATTGGCTAGACAAATATGAGAGGGGAACAAAGAATAGGCACTGCTTTCCCATTGTGTTTCACTTAGCTATAGCTGCAATCAGCTGCAGCTCCTGAACTTTTCTCTGCCAAATGAAATCAGGCAGGATTTTGAATTCTGAATATTTTCCAACTTGATGATGATCAGTGGAATATACCCAGGTTAAAAATGGGTACTTCTCAAAGTATCTATTGCTGAAAAAGAATATTTGGCCAGCCTTATGCAAATTTCTGCTACTTATCTGCTCTAGTCATCTGCTCTAAGCATATATTCAGCAAAATCTCAAGACACCTCTTGTTTCAGTTTGTCTTTGTATCCCAAATGACAAAAAAAAGTAGCATGCACAAAGCTGTGAGGAGGCACCTATATAAGGATCATCTTCCATCTTTTTCTTTCTTTGCTACACATAACATTTTCTGGTTTTGCTATTGCAAATTTCTAAGAGTGAACATCAAGGTTTGAAGACTTGCACAGAATCAAACTCTTCTTTCAGCAATAGCAGATATTAAAACTCTGAAGAACTTTCTCACAGTCCATTTTAAATTTTATAATAATCCATAACTGCAAATGAGACTTGAAAATGTGTTTGAATTATCAGACACTGAATAAACACCTTATACTTCCAATGTTTTCAAGCATAAAGCAAGGAGGAAGACTTTCATCCTTAAATAAAATTTGAAAACTACAGTCAAATTATTTTATACTAGCTCTGAGACAAAGCTTACAATAAGACCTAATATTTTAAAAGACTGAATGTGTATTGAAAAAGAGAGGAAATATAGTAAATCTCAATAATCTTCACATGCCTTTTTCCTAATGGAAGGATAATTCTCATTTACAAACTCTTCTGAGAAAGGACTAAAAATACCCAGCCAAGCAGATTCCTAAATAGCTCCCAAAAGATTTCACTGTCTCTTATGAGAATTACTCAGCAAGAACAGCAAATTTTTGAAGAGTTTTCATGCTATTTTTGATATCTTAATACAGTCTCTTAATCTTCAGAATGCTCTTTGTTCACAAATTATTTTATAGTAAACTGAAATAGAAGTCACAATAAACTGATTTCTCCCCAAGACGCAGTTTATGTCTTCACAAATTATCCAATGAAAGGATTTTTCCCAAATTCTTGGACTATCTTTTACAGGAGTTATACAAATTTAATGTCAGGGGCAATAAATCCCATTTTATGCATTCTATACCTATTAACTTTTTTTGGATGTCATAGGTCTGGAGCAAAGCCCCAACACCAAGCCCAGACTGAAATTCTTCACTTCACTGAGGGATCAAAACATCACATCTATCTCTAAAGGGCTGATTTACTGACGTAATGAGTGCAATGGAGATTAAGCATGTATGGTGTGGGTGCTCTAAAACCGCGTGAAAAATCTAATTCAGTAATAACACAATCCCTGCTGACAACATCTTATGAGAGACCTGTTAAAAATATTTTAGATTTAAAATGTCCATGTCTAGACATCTACGTTCTTATGAAATTTGCCTTGTATTTATCTGCATATAATTAAAATTTGGACTGAAATGAAATTACATAAAAGTAACCAGCAGCTTTTAAATTATAAATACATGGTCAGTAATTTTGAATGTTAGCTCACTGTCTGTGGGGACAGGGGTAGTAGGAGTCAGTGTTTCCTTACTCTGCATCATCCTCTTATTACACCTACATAATTTAGCCTCCTCTTATAAACAGATTCAAAGAATTCCTGGATCACATTTTTCTCCCTTGCTTGCAACATATACAGTCTAGAAATATACTTAATTTGGAGTACATATGCATCACATGATGTGATGAGTTTTGTTAAATGTTTAACTAAAAATGAATTGCTAGATTGATGTTTTCATGAGTTAGAGATGGGATATATAGACAATATTCAATTCTGCTAATCTAAATTTCAGATGTGTTTTCAATAAAATAAATTCATTCCATCATTATAGAGCATGGTTAGCCATATGAATTATATGCTCAACCTTTTAGAATGGCAGTTGCCTTTCATGATCTCTGGGAAAGCAGTACTTGTGTTGGGTGCATTATTTTCACAAAATGTTCTTTAAGCACAACCTTGAAGCCTAAAGAGAAAGGAGACTCTTTAATGACTCTTTATCTATTCTGTATCCATAAAAGTAAATATTTAAATGTAGCATTTTGTTTCTAAGAAATGGATGAGACTTACAGCGTTTGAGTGTCTAAAACATTTCTTTAGAATATAGCTTATATATGGTCCATGAAATTATTTGCAGTCTACCAAGAATAAGGAATAACACTTTTCTTGATGAGAAAAAAAAGAGATAATGTTTTTACTTTTTTCAATCAAAGATAAATTCAGATAAGCAATTTTAGAAATATCCTCAAGGAGTTTCTGATTAAGGATTAAATAAGTAAATCTTATCTACTGCTATTTTCTTCCTTCTCTGTTTCACTCCATTTGCAGATATTGACAATCAGAAACAGTGAATTGAAATGGGAAACACTAAACTCTTGGACTGTCTTCTAAAATGACCAGTTGTTGTCTTGGTGGATTTTTGTTGCTGACTTGTCCTCTATAAATTGGGTAAAGGCCTTCAACCTGCTTCAAATTTGTGCCAAGCAGTTAAGATGGTAACAAAGATGCTATTGAGATGGTAGTGAATTGCTGTCAGTACATCATGTATCATACTCAAGTCTATGCTTGGCTGTTTCTAGTCTTGAGCTGCACAGCCACTCGATGATCAAAGCAAAATGTTTCCTTTCATTTATTTATGCCTTTATTAAATAATTCAATGAAAATGACACTTTTTATTTGTTTTGTCTAGCCAATAAATCCATGCTTTACAAAAAAGGAGAAGCAATCTGTGTTTATTCTTAAATAGAGAGGAATCTGTGAAGTATTTTACATTTTTACAGTCCCAGAAGTGAATGATAAATTAAAAGAAATAAATTATTCATAATTGTAGCAGACTTAAAAATGAAGGCTTATAACCAGAAGGTCCTGTTCCAACAAGGACGTAACTACTGCATAAGTAGTTTCACTGAAGTCAGGAAAATAAGCCCATGTTTAAGTGTGTTTCTGGATAAAAGCCAAAATTAAGAAGAAAGCAAAATTATAGAATTACAAACCACTTAATGCGAAGTGTGAAAGAAAGCACTGACTATATAATCGGGGAAAATAACTGATTCATGTGATGGTAATAAATGTATTCATGAGACATCATGATTTCTTAAGGAGCAAAAAGTACCATGATAAAAGCATGGGAAACTAGGACTTTAATTCAAGCATGGGAAATATTGAGATAGACAAAATCCTTTTCCCCTTTTTAATAAACTAAATGTTCTAATGCCTGCTTACAGATAGTAGGTTATAAAGTTAAAAATTATCAGTACTGAAATAAATGCTCAAAACTGTCCAGGAATGATGTGGTAATGTGCCGGAGAAATATAAATGAAACTAAATTAACTGTCATTTCTGTGAATCTGAAAAATTACAAGTAATATAGGTACCAGGATAAGCCAAGATAAGATCCTTACAAAGGTTTGGTCCCCTGACAACATTTAGGCACACAGGTAATACCAGTTCTTGCTTTGAAAGCAAAATCTGTGCTCCAGCATAGGGAGAGATTTGAGACAAATTTTCAGTCCTTTTGTACTAGTTAACTGCTATAATCCTCCTGGGACCGGGATGATATAACAGACAATTGTAGAAGGAAAAGCCTGATTCTGTGGGCATGCAGTCATTTCACAACCAACAATTAATTGTCTGCTTTTGTCTTCTACTCTTGCAAGGGTGTCAAGAAACCTTTTATTCAGTTGAAAACATCTCCAGGGACCTTTTGTAGATCTTTCTTATGGAACTGTTGGATTTTTTTTTTTTTTTTACTACACTGTATAAGCAAATTGTGGATTTCAGCAGCATCCTGATATGCCAGGTGACATCAGATCCTACAATTCATGTACAGAATGCATTTAGTCAATGAAACTACTTGTGAGAGTTATGTCATATACACTTTTTCAAAATTGTACATATGCTCATCATCAAGAAAGTGGTTCTTAGTGATGTTTACAAACTAAAGTTGTAAGAAATTGAAAATATATGCCATGCAAATGGTTGCCAAGATATATACCAAAATCCTGTGAATTTCTTAGAATGATGCTTGAAGTTATTAGGAAAAAGTACACATAAGTAAAAATATATAGATGTATTCCACACCAGGTTGTCTCCCATATTTCATCTATATTTATACTTGCATTGCAGAGATGAAATATGTCTTTTTATATTACTGCATGCAGCTCTAGGGCCTCTAGTAGGCCAGAACTAATACAAAGGAAGGCCAAGAAGATGATTAGGAGGGGCTGGAGCACTTCTGCTGTGAAGACAGATTGAGAGACAGGCTTTTCAGCCTGGAGAAGACTCTGTGGAGAGCTTAGAGGCAGCCTTCCACTACCTGAAGGGGGCCTAAAAGAGGCCTGGAGAGAGAATTTTTACAGGGGCATGTAGTAATAGGACAAGGGGCAATCGCTTTAAACTGAAAGAGGGTAGGTTTGAGATCAGATATTAAGAAGAAATTCTTTATTGTTAAAGTGCAATAGGTTGCCCAGAGAAGCTGTGGCTGCCCTATCCCTGGAATTGTTCAGGGCCAGGATAGATGGGTGGTGTCATCAGCTGTGGTCCCACTCTTTTTGAACCACTGAAATGGTAGAAGAAGAAAGTAACCTTTTGTAACTACCAGTTGCTAGTGGAGAGGAGTAACACTTATAAATCTGTTGTGGTAAAATGTCTCTCCATCCTCACCTATCCAGCACTCAGGCACGTGGCAAGAGGCAAGGCAAAATCAGCAAGGCAATAGACAAAAATGCATGGCTCTTCAAAGACAATTTTTGTATGTTGTACAGGCAGTTGTCATCAGGTAGAGAGGCCACAAGGCTAATATAGAAGTGGTTTGGGAAGTAGGCAGCCAGCAGTGGATCCCATCTGACCGCCGTTTCCCACCTCTTACAGAGAATGTCCTAGCACTGGTAGACATCAACCTGTTTTCCCTAACAAGCATTTCTCTTGCAGTTGCTACATAATACAAATTGAGGTATTGAAAAAGCATGATTTTTATATTTATGAAATGTATTTGAAACTGAAAGGTAAATAAGGCAAAATTAGAAAATACTTGAACAGGAATAGAATACTTAGAATTCTTATATTTCCTCAAAGTCAAAGGAATCTGGTGTGTGTGTAAAAACACTTAATGTGGAACTAGCTAGTGTCAACATAAATATTGTTGTGTAATAACTNGTCTTGATCCATGTAACTAAAATGAGGAACTCTGTCAGATCCAGCAGTAGAGATTGAATTCAGGGGCTTGGGGGGATTTTGTGCTTGCTTACATTTTGTCCTGTTTGCTTTAGTTTTTTGTTTGCTTATTTTTGTTTTCATGATCTCCAGTTCATACTGAACAGGGATGTGTTCTGGAAGGACTGTACTGAGAGTATGTCTGCACCACATGCTTTAATGATACCTCAATCCAAGGTATTGCCAATGAAACTGTAATGGTGAGGAGCTTAGAACACCTGAATACTATTCCAAGTCCCACAGACAACCAGGCAGTTTGGAATCACTTCTGCACTGTGGGAGTACTAACAGTGTGTTTTAGGTGTAGCTAGGTATGCTGACAAAAGCTACAATCTCACTTCTGCCAGCAATATGAACTTAACTCTGAAAGACATTAAGAGTGGGAATTAAAAATCAGAACAAAACAAAAAATAAAAAAACCAAAACATACATCAAGGAAAAAAAAAAACAAAAACAAACAACAAATCTGAACAAGAACATGTAAACAAACAACATTGAGAAACCAGCCATCATGGAAAAAACTTTTCTGTCCTTAGGTGTATAGGCAGGATTTTTTTCTGGTGAAAACTTATTCGCATTTCTGATGAAAACTGATGAAAACACTCACAGTACTTTTTAAAATCCCTTCAAAAATGTGCAGCTTAGAAAGTGAAAACAGAGGCATAGAATTTATAAACCTGTTCTATTTTAATGTGTTATTTTATATTGATTAGATACTCATCAGTTTGGCTTTTGATACGAAATTTTATTCTTCCATGGAATAGTAATGGTAACAAACTCAGCTTCCATATTGTGATTTTGACTCCATGTTGAGGTGAAAATGCCTGGAGTTCCATTTTTCTGAATTCAATAAGCTGATTTACCACTAGCATAGTTATTACTAGCAAACATATTACTTGCATATCTACCATGATTATCTATTTGTCGTGGTTTATGAGGGGCATATGTGGCAGTGTGTATGTTTGGAGAGGAATGGGATGGGGTTTCAGAACAGAGCATGAAGAGATAAATTA